CTCACCGCAGGTCCTGCCATGTCCAGGAGCTCGCCCAGCAGGCTGGGTCTCGGCCACTCGGCCGGAGAAGGCCCTGTGGCCCCCCGCCGGTGGGGAGGGGAGGGCGCCCACACACTCGGCCCGTGTCCAGCCCCGCAGCACCGCTGGAGACCTCCGCCCACAGGCCCTGCTGGCTCCGGGGCCAGCACGTGGGGCTGCCGCTGACCCACGGCCCACCCTGTCCAGCCCGTCGCTGCAGGGTGGGAGCTTCTGCACCCGGCGGGGGCAGGACACCGGTCACTGGGGCAGTGAGGTGACCCCCAGCAGTGACAGCCCGTCTGAGGCCGAGGCTCAGGCAGGAGCGAGACCCACCCTGGGGCTGCTCAGGCGCGCCGGGGCGCCGGGGCTGGCTGTGGCCATGGCAAGGGGTGCGCCTTGGCATCTGCAGCCCGCAGGAGGTCCCCCGCCTGGGAAGGTCCCCTTGGGCACACTGACCGGTCGGGCCCTGGATCCTTCCACACGTCTACGCTCCCCAAGTCCGTTTCTGGGTGGGGGAGTGGCAGCACAGGGCGTGGAGGCGCCCACGGAAGGCTGGGGGGGGCGCTGAGAGGGGCCGGAGCCTGCCTGGGCAGCCGTCCAGGTGCTCCCGCCTCTGCCCGGGCTGTGACGCCTCCCAGGCGTCACTGTGCGGCTGAGTGGGGACGCCACTGTCCGCAGGGGCCCAGGGCTCCGTGCGCAGGGCTTTGTGTCCAGAGTTGGAGGGCAGGCCCTGGCGCCCGAGTCCCCGAGGAGGACACTGCTAGTGTGTGTTGGCGGCGGAGCTCAGGCCGCCCTGTGGGGCAGCAGTTTGGGGGCTAGTGCCATGGCCCGTCGGCAGTGCCAGGCTCTTGGAGGTGTGGGAGGACTGAGGCGCCTGTGAATCCTGGCATACCGCAGGTGCGGCCCCGGGGTCAAGACTGGCCATTCTGGGCAGAGGGGGTGGGCAAACCCTGCCGCCCACCTCCCGCCGCCCCACCCCGGGGTTCCTGCTCCTTCCTGCTGCTGGGACTACCCCCCTTCTGGCAGGGGTCCGCCTCTGGGGCTCACCTCCAGGAAGCCAACCTGGCCACACAGACCTGTGCCAGCTCCTTCAGTCTTCAAACCCCCTGCCCAGGACCCCAGCCTTGGACACCTGCTGACCCGGCTGACCTGCAGTCTTGGATCAGCCTTCACTCTCCCCAGCACCGGGGTGGGGGCCAGGAGGACAGGCTTAGGCCCAGCTGGCCCCCTGCAAGACTATCTGGGAAAGGGACCAGGGGGATGCTCAGGTCCCCTCCCCACTCTGGTCACAGCCTGCGCAGCACCCCCACAGACCTCAGTGTCCCCACACACGCCCCCCACCCTGCAAACGCCCCTGCTCCTCGCTCGCCCCTGAAAACCCACTCCCTGCCGGCCAGCCAATGGGTCCTTCGCACCAGCCCGGCCCTTCTCCACGAGCCAGGACTCGTCCACGCCCCCAGGCATCTGCCCAGGCCCCCTGGCCCCGACTGCCTGAGCCGGTGGCCGCCCTTCGTGCCACTGCCTTTGGGGCTCTCTACGCGCCTTCGCGACCCCCGCCCGCGTTTGTCCGTGAACGTCAATCTGTGACCTTACGTTGACTTTCCGCCGTGAGCTGCGGCCGGGCGAGGGCCTGGCCCCCTTCCCGGGCCAGTGCTGCCCACCCGCGGCAGCGCCCGTTGCCATAGCGCGGACCCGCGGCGACCTCTGTGCGCTCACGGCCCCG